ATACTTACACTATACAGCTACTGAGTCTGGAGAACGTCTGACTCGGAACCGACAGGTCCCGGGTTCGAGCATCGGGTGGGTCAGTCCTTACCCGGAGTTTCGAAGTTGATAAAAGAGTATCATCGTCTTAGATAAACAAGATACTTCGCGTTATATGGTTGTCACACTGGTAATGCCGACTCGGCTTTTACACAAGTAGGACACTCCTAGCTGATGACAGAGAGATTAGCGCCTCACCATCAACCCCATGAAATAAATGGTATCAAAAAACGGGCCCATCATGAAAGAGTAAAGAAGACAGACATTCAATGGCTACAAACTATCCTTTGATTCCTCAATGTAATTTTACGATAATTAAGAAATTAATTGTAATTATTTAATAAAAACAATAAATACTACATTCAAATCTACATTCATTGAAAAGTACTTAGAACGTAGTACGGAAACATGGAACACGCTTTAGTAGTGAGAATGCACTTTGCATCTAAACTAATCGTAAGAACCATCCTTAAGCTTTCCCCCACACAAATCTGCAAAATATTCACCGAAAAGTACCAATAAATTATCTGTGGAAAGCAGTCAGATCTACCAGGAACGACAAAGAAAAAATAATCGTTTAACAATTTCGCTTACTTCGTAGCGAAAGACATCAGTTCGAAAATCAGCTGAACCTCAACAACGCATAATGCCAACTCGTAGCTGTAAGGAAGCTTCTTTTCTAATTCGCGTAACGACTGGAGACACTGCTGTAAGCCGAACCGAGATCGCTAAAAATTAACGTTACGCATACAATCCGTTTAAATGTAAAAAAACTAAATTAGTGAGAATACGAGGTAAAATGGATCAAACCTTAGAATTAAAAACTGATGCTGTTTATTTATAAAAATAATTAAAGAAATAGTGAATTATTAACTTTGATCATGAAAGTACCTGGCATTTGAAGAACTTTATTCGCTAGGGCAACGCAACTGCTGTGAGCATGACGCAGAACGTTCACTACGAAAAATTAGACAAAAAAGGAGGAAAAATATCTAGCTGAATAAAATTAAAGTTATAATAACCAACAGATTTTAGCATGCGCTCATGGTCCCATTTCATTGCTCTGAGGACATCGATCACCATAGGAATGACTTCTTGTTTTTCTCTCGAGAATTTTTGTCTTTTCATCTACAATTGTTAATATTTCACTATATTCCATTTCCGCTAACGCCAGAGTTGCAGTCAGCCGGATATGCTATTCATATATGCTATAAATAGGCGGATACGCTACACTATTTTAGAGATTTGTGTTCGCCTTTTCGCTTTGCCAACAAACTCCGGAGTCGATATTTTTTTAGTTCGCAAGTTCTCATACTATTTAATTTACTGCATGTGCATTGACAACGGAATATTAAAATCTATTTTTTGTGCATTCTGTGAATGAAACTAACATAAAAAGCACTAAAACATGCAAACGTAGGCGCACTTATTGATTACACGTACTGTAAAAACTTAAGTAACAAGGTGCGATTAACGAATGGGTAGCAAAATATGATTTATGCAAAAGTTGTGCCATGAAAAGGTTTGCTAAACGTAACTCAGGGTATATCTGTATGCCTTTTGAACAAGAAATGATGACGATGTATACGCATAAGACAGTCATAAGCTAAGAGAAGGCTTCATGAAATACATTAAATAGTGAACAGAAAGCACGAATCTGACCCTTCACAAAAAACATTCAGTAACTAAAGTCTGTACTGAACAAAAGCTTGCCCACACTTATCGTAATCGTCTTCACCATGAACTGAAGATGACACATATCACCGTCGCTGCGATGACCAAAAGATCAGTTTTCACATTTACATATACGCTGGAACCCCTTACAAAAAAGTATTTTTTTCTCACTGACTTAGATTAATGCTCGCTAGCTTAGACATGCCAGCACAATCACGTTGCTTGGCACACGTGTATATGAAGCTGTTCGAACGCATGCATGATTCGGAGCAGTTTCAGCACCGGGTCCCGTTAATCCGATGTAAAGCAGAGTTTAGTAAAACATGTAGCACTTTTCTGTGACACATAATCTTGCAGAGGTAATTTCCGCACATTCGAAAAAGCTTTTTAGATGGGAGTAAAGTCGTTAGTAGGGTACTGACTAAATAAATTCAAGTATACTTGTATAAATCAATTCCCGACTCTCACTTTGAAATCGATGGCCGAAAACGAGTCCAAGTCGATGTTGTCCGGGTTCAGAAGCAGCTCCATAGGGATGGACAGAGCGAACAACTGAATACCATCCGGCTCGGTCGTCGAACCTTTCTGTTGGAGCGCCTTAAGGGTGAGTGCGTACTCAATGGCACCCGCTTTCAGAATTTCCTGAAACAGCGTCTCCATCAAATTGTCACTAGCGACGTTGACGGCTGAGATGGTCGGCAGTAGCGGCGCGTAAGACTTGAAGTCGACGTCACGGTTCCAGCACAGACCGAGAACGGCCAGCTTGGAAGTGAGGTTGACGACTGGCGCCACTAGCTCACAACCGGAAGACATGTCGCAGATGATGATGCCGAGGACGTTGCATCGGTGAAGCAGCTCACACAACGTCGACTGGGTTTTCAGCACGTGATCGAGTGACGAACACAGGAACCCTGGCCTGCCGGATGGTAGCGTCAGGCATATCGGTGAGTGCAGCAAGGCCAGGTCTAACAGGTCTTGGTCGGATAGGGCTGAGGCGCGCAGGCACAGCACGTACTCGGGCG